AAAAGGGAACCCCTAATTTTGGGAAACCCCTGTATTTTTTAGGGTTTGAGGTTTAGGGCTGATGTATGGCGTTTATTGCTGGCTTGGGGCTTTGGGCTTTATGGCTGAGGGTCTGGCTGGAAGGTTACAGGGTCACGTTTCACTCAGGGCTCCGGTTGATAACCTATTATTGCTAACTTTACCCTTATTCATTTCACTAATATTAATAATTGTTACTGGTATTACGACTCTTGCTATTACCATTATTGCCGTTAGTCAGCATTTTGTTCTACTTCTACCCATTGCATCGCCGGAGTCATGACAGCGTCTTCAGACGGGCCGCTAGCAAAGTACGCAGCAACACACCGCCCAAGGAGTATTCTGAAAAGGGGCACTATTGTCAGAGTATGGTCTCTTGTTGGTTGTAACTTGTGCATCAGAACAATAATCTTTCTTGGTTTAACCCACCAGTACCAAAAAAATACATCCCGCATTGAATCTTCGCAGCGTGGCCCAATCACCACCTCAGCAGCAATTTTTTATTTGACTGCAAAGTGCATACGCCACTGGCCCAGCCGGGGGGACGCATTTAGAATTTGGAGGCCGAACAATAGTTTGGAGGCCATGGGCCCTGACCATGACAGGCAACATGGAAAGTTGCCAGAGAAACCTTTTTAGCGTAGATTGCTCTATCTCCGGCCGCACCGGAGGGCCCTTAGTACTTAGGAAGATCACCCCCTTACAGTCATCAAATTGGAGCAACAACGAGTGACAATGCTTCTTCAAGCCCGTTCTTCCAGTGCTGGATTTTGTTGCGAGGGCAGCTACGAGCTGGATGCGACAGTGGGCTGGCACTGGTCAACACGCCTTTCCCTCGCTGCGTGCCAGCGAGCCTGTGAGGAAGGTTTAGGGATGTAGACAATTAAGGTTCAGGCTTAGAGGACTGCTCTCAAAACGGGCTTGGGGTTCAGTGATCTAGGGCTTGTGCATTTATAGGGCTTAGGGATAGATATAGGTCATTAAGGGATCTGGGATCTGGGGTGCTTCGGACGGGCTTGGATGAAACTCTTTTGTGAATGTTCTGCGTGGTGCAAAGATGAGAAGGGAACGTGGGAAAGACTGAAAACAGCCGGCGTTATACAAGCCCTCAACATGGTTCACATGCAAGTGGCAACATGGTTCACATAAAATCCATTCCTTCATTCCCTACGTCGCACGAGCAACTAAAAGAGGCTGTTTTTGAATCCTAAAGTTCCAAACCCATATATATATATATAATACTAGTTTCCATAATTTTCTTTTCCACTATCCCTATATAACCCCAATATTACCCCAACAGAATCCCAATTTAACCCCAATGTTACCCCAATATAGCCCTTCATAACCTTAATAGAACCCCAATATAGCCCAAATATTACCTCAACATAACCTTAAAAGGGTCCCCATATTGAGGGGCTCATCCCTGCCAGGACTTAGCTGTGGAGTGGAGCTGCCGATTCATCTCCTGGGGAGGGCCAGTCCTTGGCACAGAGAGATGTGTGTGTGCCTACACCAATATGCACACGTGTGTGCGTATTTGTTCCATGCCTGCGTAGACATGCGTGTATACCTATATATACACATACATATACATATACATCTTCATAACATATATATATACACATAATATACATATATATATACATATACATGCCTACGTACACCCCGTGTGTGAATATGCAGGCATAACCCATGTGCAACAAGCATCCTGAGGCTTCGACTGAGCGGTGGTGCTATGTCCACCGCCACTGCGACTCCATGATGCGTGTGCCTATGTACCAGATCATGGACCCATGGCTAGCATCCAGAAAGCATCTGTTGCAATGAAGCCCATCATCATGTGGTGGTTCTCCTTGGAGCCCAGGAGATGAACTTTACAGACGGCCTGCCTCCCAGATGGAACTAGGAGGGCCCATTCCCGTTTGCTTTGCTCTTTCTGAAAGCCTTTTTTGTTCCCACAAGGCTCAGGGCGCTTGCGGAGGCAAGCCCAGCTTTGGAGTTTATAGTCAGCTTCGTGCTTGGATGCTGCGCAGCCGAAATCTCGAGTCGTTGTCGGCATTGTTGGCCTTATTGCTTGTGAAGCTTGATTGCCTTTGGTGTGAACCACCTTCTGCAGCAGACTGACTGAGAGGTGGTTGACATAATTAGTCCAGGAAATAGCTTGGGGCTTAGGAACACTGAATTAGTGCAGACCACAGTGGCGTTTTTAAAGTGGTTACCTCACGCCCACAGATGACAAGCCAGGTGGGAGAATTTTGAAAACACCCACGTGAGTTCGGGTGCCCCTATAGCTGCATGCAGAGGCGGTTGGTGAAGGTGCAGATTGTCGATGGCGAGATGCCGGGCACCCAACAAAGGTTGAGTTGGGCTTTGCTAAGAATGAGGGGTTTCCTAAACACCTTCAATAGTACATCCCTTGTTCTAGCGACAAGCCAAAAACGACCCACTATAGACAAGCCGTCCTAATTCCTATATGGCTCCTCAAAACGGGCCATACTCGTACCTGCCAAAACAATGCAGTCGCTACTGTATATATTCCCTGCCAAGCAAAATACCCTAGATTTTGAGCAGCGTGTTGCATCCTCCATGCGCTGAACGTTTCAGCAAGACATTGCTGGATCAGGATGGCGTGGTTGTCCGAGAATGGTGTCAAAGCGCGATTCTCAGCTAGGCTTGTAGGCCTTTAGGGTTTGAGGTTTAGAAAGCATAAGCTGTTCTGAGTCGCTTCATCTGACTCGAGCTGCAGCAGGTTGAATTAAGTTAAGCGCCCCCAGGACGGCTTCGAAACAAGGCTGCGGCTAAAAGATGGGAAAAGAACGGTACTATAGTATTCGGTGTGCACCCTGACGATGTTCTAGTGTCATAAAATGATGCTGTCATTGGTGAGAGAAGATGTAATGGTGTTGTAAGACGACAATGCTTTATTTAAAGCTGTGCGAATTTCGCAGGGCTCTAACCACGTCAGCCTTCGTTGCATTGTATGAGGAGGCTGTAGTGCCCTTGTCTGCTCATGCCAGTTGAGTTGCGGTGCTCCCGTTTGGCATCCAGCTACCAGCTACTGGCAGAGCCCGCATGCAACAAGCAAGCCTGAACCGTAAACAGTACTGGAACGTTCCAGTGTGACTGCATGATGCCTTTTCTCCCTGGTGCTTAGTAGGGAATGGGGGAATGGATCCCGATAGTAGTCCCTATATATATAATCCCCAATAATTGTCCCTATAATCCATTCCTAAACCCTGAACCCCCAAACCCCAAACCCCCAAAATCCCAGACCTGGAGCCCTAAACTTGGAGCCCAAACCTAAGCACTGGGGGGGTTTCAGACCGCTCGAGCCAGGGCCTGTTGGCGACGCTCTGCATCCTTCTGCCTCTGCTGAGCCTCTGGCAGGCAGTGCAGCATAGTCCTTAATGAATAGAGTTTAGGGTTTGGGGTTTAGGGTTTAGAGTTTAGGGTTTAAGATTTAGGGTTTAGAGTATAGGGTTTACAGAATAAGGGGTATATGGGGATCCCATTATAATATATCTACTTCGGGGAGACTACAGTTCCTAATCAGGAGCCCATGTCCATTAGATTATGTAGGAACTCTTGGCTGTAGCTCATATCATACGGGTCCTTCTTGCTGGAAATGTGGGTCCTGATGCCCCTAGACCCTGGGCTCCAAACTCTGACCCTAAACTCTGCACCCAACAGTTTTTTCCAGCCTTGCAATATATTTTGTGATGCGCAACACTAGTCCCAGCCCCCCTAAAGAATCCAAAAAATGGAACCCCCCCAATATGAACCCATTACTACATTGGGGAAACTAGGGGATTATTAGGGGGTTCCATTTTCTTAAAACCCCGAGATCCCCAAACCTTGGCAGCTGAAGGCACGGGCAGCATCCCTCGTTGCGCTTCAGGCCTCCAAGGATCTTTATTCTTTTTCCATCCCTGCGGCTAGAAGCCTACACAAAGGTTTTGGGGTCACTTGAGCTTGGGTGTAGGGATTATATGGGGATTATTAGGGCTATTAGGGTATATATTAGGGTATATTATATGGGGATCATGGAAAAGAACATGGGAACTGTTATTGTGAGAGGTTCTGGGTTTGGGCTGGGAGGATTAGGATCTAGGTTTGGGGGTCTGGGCGTTTATGGCTCAAGCGTTAGTAGGGGGCTTTGGGCTTAGCTTCAGGCTTAGGAGCTGTCAGTTTTAAAGGTTTAGGGTTTAGGGTTGTAGAAACTAATTATGGGTTACTATAGGGTATATAGGCTAGGGGTTATATAGGGATGAAAAGAAAATGGAAGCTACTATTTAGGGTTTAGGGTTTTGGGTTTTGCAGGTACCTATGCCTGAAGTTTCCGGGTACAACGCCTACCACCAGCTGCCGCCAGCACTACCATGAGTAATCCCCTCCCCCTAATGATGAATAGAGCCTCATCTCCTATGAAGACATGCTCCTTGTAGAATGGTGCTTGGGGGGGAAGCTGCTAACTGCTAACTATTGAAGGGTTGGTATTCTGGTTTGCTGTTAAGGAACCTAAATTAAGTTACCATAGTGGGTACACATAGTAAATAATAGGGTTTCCCCAATAGAGTAACTTAATTTAAGTTCCTTAACAGCAACCCAGTATTTGGACGGGTGGCGGCTTGCCAGGCCAGCCACAGCGGCTCTAAGCAGCAGCTTCTTGCACTGCTAGCAGCGGCGGGCCCTGATGGAGGAGGGGCATGAAGCAACATTGTATAATGGAAAAGAAAATGGAATCTACTATATTATTAAGGGATAATGGAAAAGAAAATGGAAACTACTATATTATTAAGGGATAATGGAAAAGAAAATGGAAGCTACTATAGTATATAGTAACATGGACAGATTTCAATCTTTTCCCTAGGGTGTGGCATGATACTGGTAGCACAGAAGTGCAGGTAACAGTAGCATTTTAGCACCACCATAGCCATAGCATGGCGTTGTGCACTCTTGCTTGCTCGCAAGCGCACTGAAAGGAACTGGTGTGGCTGTCGTTGGAAGCATCAAGGAGGACCCTGGTTGGCATCGCCTCCAGCATGTGAACGGCATGGCTATTACATCGTCCCCAACATACCTCGACCAATCAGTCATTGCTGCGCGTGGAGAGCATGTTCAGGTTTCTATACATGTATAGACTGTGCGTATACGCATATGCACAGACACACAGACATCTATATACATATATATATATATATATGGGCGGGAGGGTATCCCCCCCCTGTATTCCGTAGCCTTTGTACCAACGATTCTAAAAAACGATTAAACCAATAAACCATTAAACTAATAAACCATTAAACCAATAAACCATTAAACCAATGGTTTTCCCCATATGGAAACCCACTAAACCATTAAACCA